ATGAACGCCAACATTGACGCGCTCGCGTCGCGCGGCCCGCACTCCAAGTACTCGCTGCCGAAGGAGAACCTCGTCGGGAAGCTCGAGCTGACGCTGGCCGAAAACTACATGGAAGGCATTGCTTGCTCGCTCGACTCGATCGGCTTCAAGGCCTTCCACGAAGCGACCAAGCACGTCAAGGGCGAATCCAACCCGTACTCGATCATGGGGTCGCTCCCGCTGGTCCGCGACCTCCAACGCGCGGGCTTGGACTTGACGCTCACGGGCTTTGGCAAGAGCTCGGTCTACCACGGCGACAATGAGTACTGCCTCCTCAGCGACATGGTCGATGGCATCCGCATGCTCGGCCGCTTCATCCACAACGTCGACAGCGCGTAAACGCCATCGACGTTGCGTGTCTATAAATGCAAATAAGACGTAGTCCTTATCGTGTACCGTCCGAGTCGAGCGACCTGCTAGTCGACTTTAGACGCGCGCTACGCTCGGCAAGCAACTGCGTACCTGGTACTGCGCTGGCAACAGCTGTTGGCGAAGCGGCGTCGAGAAGACAAGGTGTCGTGGTGTCGGACCGTCGGAGTTCAAACCACGCTGTCCGCGAGGTCTTTGAGGCACAATTACGATGATGAGAGACGAAGCTGGAGGAAGGACGAGCCATATTCCGCACCCGTAGCATGCACGACGAACGACGTGCTCTTCACGTCGCCCACTGGCACCCTGGGTGCAACCTCTCTTAAGTGCGACAAATAGGCATACAAGACAGAGGTGAATTGGACTTGGCGAGGCGCACTTAACGTTCTCCGATTGGCTGTTGGCAACGCCCAGCTGCCACGTCATTGGCACACCACACGTAGCCCGCACCCTTGACGCTGCCTGCAACGTCCGCGCACTCTTCTTACGCGTCCTTGTGGATCTCTCTGTGTAGGCTGAGCGTGTACCGTAGAACGACGCAGAGGACTCCAGCATCGACTTGGCATGAGCTTATGATGCACGAGTACTACAGTTTGCGATACTTCTCGACGGCGGCTGCAATTCGAGAAGCTTGAGAAGGAGGCTGCCCTTCATGACCCTTGCGCCTTGTGCCTTCGTCTGTCCTTTGCACGAAGGAGCTCTGCGACGAGGCGTTTGTCGCACGTTCAAGTTGCACATAGAGCGCGCGTCCAACAGGCCGGTTGGATGACTTCTGCCTCATCGGCTTATTTGCCGGTCATTTCGCCTTTTGCTTGTTGCTACTCGACACGATGGCCTCGGTCTTGGACCTCGCGCTCGACGCAGACACCTACATCGCTCTCCTCTCCAAGTTTATGGATGTCGCCGTACGACGCTCGCTCTGTCACCACTCTCGTACCTTTTCGCTGTAGGAACACGTCCAGAACGCGCCGAGTCTGGGGCTGATCCCGAAAGAAGACTTGATCTCGGACATCGTCCTTGAAGAATTGAGCCCGTACCTCAAGCAGAACGGCGGTGTCATCGAGGCCAAGCGCATCGCCTTCCACGAAGGCCGCGGCCATCTCATCCTCCAGTACCCCGGCGCCACCAAGCCGGAGGAAACCATCAACTTTGTGGGCATGCACATGGACGTTGTGCCCGCCAACCCGGAAGGCTGGGAGCGCGACCCGTTCAAGCTGAGCGTCGAAGGCGACAAGCTCTACGGGCG